ATTGCTGAATACACCAGTGAGTGCTGCTCTCAGTGCTCAGTGGTTCTGTGATTCCTCCTGGCAAAGGACCAGCACTGTAACCCGAGTGAAGCTGCAAGGAAGTGATGTGCTCTCTGCAGAACTCTCTGTGAGAGCAGAAGTCAAAGTTTGTACTCAATGTGCACAGAAACCTTTACAGATCAGTGACAAAATTCCCTTGGTTCTCAGCAGTCTTCAGTGTCTGGGACATCTAGTGTAAATAACGACAAAATTCCCTTTCTCTATTAATCTATCAGGCTATTGCTTACTCCAGAGCCCATTTTAAATTATTGTCATCATTATGAATTTAAGTGTATTTTGGTTTTTTCGGCAGTTGACTGTGCTAAGGTGTGCTCCATCACTGTCATTTTACCTTCTTGTCTTTCTACTTGAAATTGAAAGAGAACTTGTAAGTATTTATTGTTGTTCTGTACCTATGTGCCACATCATCTTATTTCAAATATCTGTGAATATAAAAATAATTCACTTTTCCAATATTTTCCTATACCTTTGCTTTAGTTGTATTTATGAGACACTCAAAGGAACTGTGTTCGAAGATCCTTTATTACAATGTGATTTCCAAACTTCAGTAATACTAATTTACTTCTGTTTTCATGGCTAGAATGTTAGACCGAGACCTAATATACTAAAAAGCTGTAGCTCTGTGTGGGATGTGCATAGCCTCTTTTAGGTTGCTTAAGAAAACATTTCGATATTCCAGAACATTCCCTTATCATGTCCTTGAAAATATCTAACATTTTCTGCAATCCACTGAATTCCAAAAATATTCTACGATTTTGTCAGATCTTAAATACATTAAAATTCTTATTCCCTCTCCTGTTGCTCTATCCCTAGGGTGGTTTGAATAACAAGCAGGAATCTTCACTACAAACACAAGAATCACCTCTTCTTCCAGAGGAATCTGTTTGATTTTTTGCAGGTTCTCAACATGATTTCATCAATTCCAGCTGGACTCCCTGAGGTTGCTGATTCTTTTGCTCTCCCATTTATAGAGTGCTGTGTTTGGAATGAAATTATTTATCTTACTGTTAATTACTGTTACTGATTTTGCAGTTGGTGTGGGGAAGCCTGAGGACTTGGTTCAGCTGGTGGCTGCCAGTGGTAAAAGGAGTTTGTAAGAACAACTTTATCTATAAAGTTTTGTCGCAGTGCTTTAGGCTTTTAAGGACCAGTGTCCCGAGCCCAGTCTGGTCCTCATCTAAGGTGAATAAAAGTGCTCTGAGTTTTGGCAGTTGTGGGACAAGAAATTCGGACACCTGCAGTGCAGGGGCTGGTGTGATCAGTGCCCTGAACGGGAACGCCCAGAGAGCTCAGAGCCACAGTCCCATGCACGGCTGTGTGGCTGTGCTCGGGAGCGCTGACAAATACGTCTTCCAGCTTTTCGTTCCTTACTCTCGGAAAGCAAAGTCTGGTGGAAAGTAAACAGATTACGCCAAACGCTGTCCTTTAGACTTTGCTCTGGCCGTGCCCCGCCGCTTGCCCAGCCACGGGCCGAGCCCTCGCACGCCGGCACCGCTGTGGGGAGCGGCGCGACGGCGACACGCGTCGGTGAGGAGCGGAACGGGCCCTCAGGGAAATTGGATCACGGGATGGTTTGGGTCGGGAGCGGCCTTAAAGCCCATCTCGTCCCAACCCCCTGCCATGGGCAGGGACACCTTCCACTAGACCACGTTGCTGAAGCCCCATACAGCCTGGCCTTGAGCACTTCCAGGGCTGGGGCAGCCCTGTGCCAGGGCTGTGCCAGGGCCTCACCACCCTCACAGTTCCAAATTTCTACTCTAAACATACCCTCTTTTAGCTTAAAACCATTAAAACCCCTTGTCCAACCACAACAGGCCCTGATAAAAAGTCTATCCCCATCTTTCTTTAAGTACTGGAAGGCCAAAATAAGGTCTCCCCAGAGCCTTTGTCTCTCCAGGCTGAACGACCCCAACTTTCTCACTTCTCATAGAAAATGTGTCTTTTTCTTTCCATGACTCTGTCTTTTTTATATTCAATGAATTTAAAGATCAGCATCAGTAAGTTCAGTAAAAGGCTTATCCTTCTTTACTTGAATGATGGAGACATACATTATCTGCTGTTTATTTTTGGCTGTGTTTCTTTACACCACGGATTGCCCTTTAAAAATCCTTGATGGTTAATCAAATCCCATTTTTTGAGGAATAACATTTTGAGTGACTTACTAGGATAAGTCCACATTGTTGATCCAAAAAGGATAATTTAAAAAAATGTCTATATGGTATTCATTATTCTTCAGTTCAGTCCAAAAAAGGAAGAAAATCTGTTATGAGGCATCAGCAAGCCCTGGAGGAAAGCAGGTCATTTTCAGGGACCTGCTTGTGTAGAGCTTCATAAAATGCACAATTCTAAAAGTTCTCTCAGTGGGAAGGTTTTTTGAAGAGAGTTTTCTTGTCTGTTGATTTGCTGTATGTTGTGAGCAGTTTAAGATAACATGCTGAGTATTTTCATTCATGCCATATTCTTCTGTGCCACAAACAGTACTTACAAAGAAGAAATTAGGTGGATAATTGTTTGGCAGGTTCTGTCTCTGCTAACTAGATTTCCCATCCATTATGTGCTTTACTGGCTCTATTATTATCCACTGGAATATACTTTCAAACCAATTTTTTCAGGATGCAATTTGATCTACTTTTTTCATTACCTTCACTCCGGGTGCTTATCTCCTACAGTTCATAAAGCATCTATTTAGATGGGTACACTTCTGTTCTCTCAGTTCTTCAGAGATATTATATGGCCGTCTTCAATTTCCATATTTTCTTGTTACACATATTTGTGTGGTGATTTAATCAACTCTCAGCTTCAAAGCTTGCCTGTGTTAGGAAGTGTTTCAGGTCTACCTCTCCATTTCTAAGTGCTTGCCTATCACATAATGTTGCTTCATTTCCTGTTGAATATCTTCTTCACCACAGTCCTCCTGGTTTGCTCAACCCTGTAATAATGTGCTGCTTCATTCACTGAATATTCAAATTCCACTTCTTCATGCAAAACATTCCCTAATAACATGTCTAATAAACATACTTGTTCTTTCCCCACAGCTATGACTGTAAGGTCACTCCCCAGCCCTGACTGTTGTAACATCTTCCATAATTTCCATGATCTGGAATTTCCCTCTCCCTTCTCCCCCAAAGTTTGTATAAAATGAATTTGTTAGTCTCATGTTCTTAGCCCGGCAGTTTGACCAGATCCTTCCATCATCTCTGCCACATGGTTTGATCTATCAAACATTACTTTCCACTTTCCCTTACTTAAGCATTCTTAGCTCACAGTGAACTACCTTGAACTTGACCTTTTTGGAGATGCTACAGGCCCTGTAACTCTGACTAGAGTTGCACAGAGTTGTACTGAAACCTTGCACACTATATAGGAAAAAATGCTCCAGACATAGAGACAGGTTCAAAATGTGACATTTTCCAGTATTTCAAACCCCAGAGAGAATGCCTGATGACAAATTTAACAAGCAATTGTTTGTGTCAGACAGTATGACAACTATTGAGCAAACAGCTGTTGCTCCAGATGGAATATGTATGACAGCTGGTGGGTCCAGGTGCATTGCTCTGGAATAAACCAACAGAGCATTGGCACATTGGTTTATTCCTGGCTGCCTTCATGGCATTTAAGCCAGTTTCTTGGATGCTCTGCTCTCAATCCCTAAGAAACGATTTCTTGCACAGTGGTGTATTAATGTGTTGAAATGTAAATAAAAGGGAGACGATTTATAATGAATCTTGATAAGAATTTAGAGGCACAGCCTAATATAATTCTATTAGCATATTCACCTTGATTTTTAAAATCACAATTACAGGAGATGCTCACTTTTCCTGTACTTTGTCTTTTAGATATACTGACATTGTGCAGAAGCAGAGAGACTATTTTACCTGTAGATAGCTTATCTGTATCTTCATTTTCCCATTGGGACACTGTGCCAGGTGCAACAATGGCTGAACCTTTATAGAGGAAATTGTCTCCTTTCTGGAAACTGAACCTGGATTGATAGTAAATGCCAGCCAGGTCCCTGAATAAGATTTGACTGGGGTTAAAAGTGTGTGCCCTGAATCCTGCTATTATCTGATCTATTTTAGTGCCCCAAAAGGAAAGAATATCTCTCAGTGTCCTTACAAAATAATCTTGAAATATAAATCCAAAGGTCATCTAGGAAATCTCTCGTGTTTCTGACTCCATTGATATGGTCTTCCTCTTTCTGAAGAGAATATTCATATCTAGGGAATAGCAACATGGATAATGATTTTTTAAAGATGATAATCCCTTTTCTCACTTTGATGTAATGTCTTAGGGCTTGTTTTTTTTCTGACTGTTTACCTTTCTTATCTGTTTGGTGATAAAATCCTAAAGGTTCTTGTAAATCACTCACAGCTTGTGTTCCCCCCCTACTTACTACTATGTTTTTTAAATATATTTCTCTTTGCAGACTAGTGCAATCATGGGAGTTAATAATCAGATTTAGTGTTCTTTGGTGAATCAGTATTTACACTGCAGCAATGCAGAGTTTGTTATTAATAACTGCAGTGGGAATGGGAGTTCATCCTACTGAGTATTTGGTAAATGCAGTACAAATGTTGCAAGATTCCTGTGTGATTCATTCCAAAGGCTGTAACTTCTCAAAGAAAAATAGATTAGGCTGTTACAGAAGAGGTTAGACAATGACCTAGCTTTGGGTCTTCATAAATATATAGAACCTATGAAAGAGTAAAGGTGAAAAAGGAAGCTTGTGCCTGGACTTGCTCTTCAGCCTTTCTTCTCATTGCAGTTTTAGCAGATATTCCTTAAAATTATTGGAGGAATGGGCACATTCACAATCAGATCTTACATTTTTCTTTTGGTCTAATTCAGATCTTAGAATACTTGGGAAAAAGAATAGTAGATGGTGTCCTCCCTGCAAGTCTTCACTAGCAAAGATGGCAGACTTACTGTTTTGTCACCAGGGGCAACCTTTTGGGACATCTGAGTTCCAGGATCTCCACGGCTGTTCCATGTCTACACTGCCTTCAAAGGAAGCACAGAGAGGGGGTTGCCTTCACAGCACCCTCAAAACAATTGAGAATCAGCTCATTTTGTACAGCTCTTCCTTCCCTGACAGCCCTTCCTGTTAAAAGGTTTGTGAATGAGAAACTTTTCTTACTGTAGGTACAAAATCACACACACTCTGATGCTAAAAATTTATCATCTGGGTTCTGAGATGGGTCTCCTCTTGTTTTCATCTCATATGTATGTACAAGGTTAGAAGGAATAGGGGGATAAAAATGGCTCATGAAAAACAAACAGAAAAACTCCAAATATTGAGGTCTATTCCAACGGCTGTCTCAGAGGAAATCTAATGCACAGTTCCAGCTGATGAAGGACCAACAGGGAAACTCACATCTCTTTTGCGAGTTCTCCCAAAATTACAGTAATTATTTTTATTTTTATTTAAGGAAAATAATTCAATAAAAGCAATGACATGTTGAAATTGTAACAGCAGGAATACCCTGCCTAAAATAATAGAGCTGTTTTGAGTTGCAATGCATTGGATACCTAAACTGCTTGAAATTTTAACTTTGTCTATATTTGTTTATAATTTGAAATTGTTCTGATACCTATTGATTAGTTTCCTCTGAAACACATGCCTCTGTTACAAAATATTGATTTTTGCATCACCTTTTAGCCAAGTAGGTTAATTGAATGGTGTTTGTGGAAATTATTTCAGATGCAGTCTCTGTCTAATATTTGCCTTCAAAGAGCTGATGGAATTGTTTGACATTTAGCCAAGATATTTGCTATAACTGGAGCTTGAACACTGGGACTTTGGAACTGAGGTACTGGTTAAAGGTACATTTTGAAGAAGCTTTGTTTATTCCCTATTCAGACTCAACAAACAAAGCAAAGGCCAGATCTTGTTTCCATTAAAGTTAGTGGGAGTTTTGCCATTTTTAAAGAGTTGACTACTGGATTACTGATATTTTAGGGAATATTTGGTACCTTTGTAATAATTCAGAGAGCAGGGAAAGTCAAAAAGAGAGGTACAATACACTGCTGTCCCTGCTGCAGAGCTGCTGTGCCAGATCAGCTGAGTACAGAACCACAGGTCAGATGATCAGACAGTGCTCAATATTTTGCAGTATTCAGAAATAAAACATCTGAAAGCATGTACTCAATAATCGTACAGGATTTTCCTAATTCTTCCATTTATAAAGAAAAACAAGTGACAAAACTCTTTATTTCCAGCTGGAAGTAAATGGTTCTTTACTGGAAAATGATTTCTTAAATGGTCACAGGTACGTTTGGCCCGGAGAAATATTACTTAGCATTTGATTGTTGTTAAGTCATCCCACTAACCAGTTAATTGTTGTGGGCAACCTACCAGTGCCCAGCACTGAGGTCTAAGCCAAGTGTAAACTGAGCTCAGAATATGCTACAAGCTGACCTGAGCTAACAATTTCAGAGAGCACAGAAACCATAATTCCAGCCCTTCAGGCCTTCTCACGAGTGAACTCTGCACAGTGGTTCTATTAAATCTATAATGTGCAGTGGTTAGTGCTCCATCTATAGCTGATCCAAAAATATTCATTAAATTGACTTCTAACTAAATTTTACTATTCTCAAAAGTGTCTCTTTTTTGAAGGGGAAAAGATATTGGAGGAAAAACCCCACAAATATGTTTATCTGGCCATATGTTTAGCTTGTGTATGGCTAGATTTTCACAAATCTGAGCTGAATTACTGCTTCATTACCTAATGCAATGAAGAGGATTTTAAAATTTCTTTAACTAGCAACTTTGGTGACACTTTGAACTGACCTGTTCTGAAAACTTATCCCCACTTGGGACTGCTTTGACATGGAGTAAAATGGAACAGTTATTTGTACTTGATCTCATCGTATCCCAGTGGATACAGTTACCACTTCAATATATAGCAAGTCCTGTTTTTCTTTAAAAAACAATAGAGGTATTTATCAGGATAAGAGTCATTACATTCCTGCAGTTCTGGTATGATAGAAATTTGAGGTGGAGTGGTGCATAGTCCAGAGTCCCCATGGGACTGTAACAAGCACAGGTTCTGCCTGGGTCTACCCAGAGAAATATGCCTTTTGTGTTGGGAACTGTCCAAACAAGGCTTTCTTAAGCCCAGTGTAGTTTAGTAAATCCCAATTCCAGCTTTAGCATTATTTTTGTACCCAGCCTATAGGTCAAAGTGCCAATGTGCTGAGCACCTGAGACTTAACTCCCAGTTCCCACTGAAATCATCAGATCAAATCTTCAAGTTCCCACTCAGCCCTTGCTCAGGCAAAACCTTCGAACACTGAGTCATGATCCAGTTTCATAGGCATCTCATTAATCAGAGTCTGTCTGGATTTGGCCAGTGCCAGTTACTTCCCTCATTTTAGGAGACAGTTCCTTAAACTTCTCTCCATCTGGGCAGCATCACTGCACTCTTTGGTAACAGCAGTTGAGAATATTGTCTTTCACAAGAACCATTCACGATTCATAAAGGTTTGTGGTCACAGAGGACGGTCCACATGACCCATATGACTGCATGAGAGCCTTCACAGATGCTGCTTTAGCAGCTTGAGAGCTGAAGGGTCGTGTGAATCGCTTCCTTGAGGGAATTCTTCTGGCAAATGTCACCATATCTGCTAAATCTCTGAGCTCTCAGTGGGACATTGGGAACAGTGATGCTGTTGGCACCATGTGATCCATGAAGGCTGATAAGCCTCATAATGAGAGAGTGAACCTACCAGTTTGACTTTATTCACTGATATAGCCCATGGATCATTTCTTTGGTCTCTATTCAGTAGAATGGCTATGGAAATTTGGAATATTTGCCCTCTGCTGCCTCCTGGACTTGCCCTTCAGTGTTGTGTACAGCACTGCAGTGAGATTTTGGAGCTGCAGAGTTCAAGTGTGTTATGGTTCCAGTAATGTTACTTACATTCTTAATCAATAAATTAAAAAGCATTGTAGTTTGTTGGGTTCTTTTAATAGAGGATGTTCAACTGGAAATCTGTCAGTGTTGATTATGTAACCTTAGAGGGGAATAAATTATAAACCTCTGAAAATTACAAACTCATTAATCCAAGTCCAGCAAGACTGTATTTGCAAAACTAAGGGCTATTCATTTTATCAAGGGAGATCAGGACCCATAGATCTTATTTTAGTCTGTAACTGAAGTCACTACAGAAATATCAGAGTTTTCTGTGACACAGAAGAAGGTTCATTGGAAAGGCAGCCTGGCAATGTGCAGTCTGTCTTCATTTTTGCATAGGTACTAATGTAAGCGTGCATAATTGTCATGTGAGGGTTCTGTGGGAAAATGTGAACTCTTTCCATCCTGTTGGAGATTGAATTCCATTTTCATTCCGTGGTTTGCCCAGTATCAAATAATTCACAATAAAAATCCGTAATTTTGTCAGCGATTCTGAAATCATCCAGCACTTTGTTATCCATTTTAATTGATTTTAATCAATCAACTGACGAAAACAACATCTGTCCTAACCCAGATGGCTGAATGCATTTCTGAAATCCTGGTACATCGTTACTTATCATTAGTTATAATATTGCGAGTGCATTTAACTGAAGTTCTAAATCAGTCACTTCTAAGAATTACTTCCTATCTCCATGCAAATGGAGAAATACATCATCCTGTTTAATTGTGATTACAACTTTAATTTTTTTTTTTTTTTTTTTTTTTTTTTTTTTTTTTTAGTATCATCTGTCTGGGGGGATTTCCAGCAACTAATGATTTTGAAGGTTGGCTTTACTGATCATGGAATGGAATCCCCGCTGGCGGCCGGAGCGGGTTTGCGGGCGGAACGCTCGCGGGGGCACCGCGGCGCGGCGGAACCGTCCCGTGTGCACTTCCGGCGCCCTCCCGCCTCGCCGCTCCATGGCCGCGTCCGTGGTGAGTCCGGGCCGGGCCGGGCCCGCCGGGAACGGCCGGGAACCGCCGGGATCCGCCGCGCGGGGTGGGGGGAGCGCCGCCTTCCGCCCCGGGAGGGGGCTGCGGCTCGGAGGGCGGGCGTGGGAGCTCGGGGAGGCCGCGGGACGTGTCCCGGCCCCGTGCGGGGCGGCGGCGCCTCAGCGCGGGGGGCGGGCAGGGGCCACCCCGCCCTGCCCAGGGTCCCCAGAGCAGCGTGGGGTCCTCCACAGCGGCCTGAGGGCAGGGAGGGGCTCGGGGAGACGTCGGCGGGGCCCGGCTAGGTTGGGAAACTGCTTGGAGTTGTCGCCAGAGTCTTCGAGAGGGTTGTTTTGGGTTGGTTGTTTTTCTTCCAGTTATGGCTTTCCTCTTAACTGCTGGGAAGGAAGGTTGCTGAGTGAGGTGGTTGGGCATTGGAACAGGAGCCCGAGGAAACAGTGACATCGCCACCCTCGGAGGTGTCCGAAGGCGGCACGGGACAGTCAGACACTGGGCAGTCAGATACAGCCTGGGAAGGGGATCAACCCTTGGAGTCAGCTCTGCTTTGGGAAGGGTTTAGGACCAGATGGACTCCAGAATTTTATTCCAGCCTAAACTATTCTCAGAATTTAAAAATGAGTGCTGGGCTACGGCTGTAAAAACTTGTCTGGGGCATCAAAGCCATCAGAGCTCATTTCCTATTTGACTCCTGTTCCAGGTACCCCAAAGCTCGTTGCAGTCTCCTGGTGTTTCTACAGTGCCCTCCCTCACGCCCATTCCATCTATTTGGAGCTAAATGGGAATGGTTAGTGCCGACTGGGGAGGGTCAGTGCAGTGTCATCCTGGCTGAGGGGACACAGCACCTGCTCTGACACCACAGGCAGAGCTGCAGTCCCTGTTCTCAGGGCCAGCTCTGACACTCCTTGTCTCCAGTGCCAGGGAGTTTCTCTGGGCATTTTCTGGGATACAGCATCTCTGATACTACTTTGTCACATGTGTTTGGAATTAGCCTGTGGGTTGGGGAATTGCTGAGGAAGGTGAAGAGCAGGCTCATGTCCCTAAAGAGGGAGAGAAAAAATAGAGCATAGTAACATGAGAGTGTTTGACTTTGCTGACTAAACAGGGATTATTTGCTAGCCTGGTGGTTATTTTGCAGTGTAGAGCTTTCTCTGAATAGAGAAGTGTTTGCCGTGGTGATACTGGAGGAATTCAGTAGTTCTGGTGTCTATTCAGTAAAGACTTCCAGGAAAATGTAAGTAGTTCAGTTGTGCAGCACTGATTGAGTTGCAGGTAGTGAGAGCACAGTGCTGAAGTAGAATAATGATAAATAATAGCATCTAAACCAAGTTATCATAACAGAACCAAGTGCAGTTATCATAACAGAACCTGTCCAGTATGGACAGGAAATTCAGAATCTGTTTTCCAGAGTGTCTCAGTTCAGGGTCTGTAAGAGATCAAGGGCCAAGCAGCTGAAAAACTGAGCAGAAAACCCAGTGAGATCACAGTGCAGGGATGGGACAGCACAGGCTGTGGCCTGGGGATGAATAAAAGTAGAGAAATGTAAGGGAAGTGATGAGGTGTGAGAAATGTTTGGTTTTGACCTGTGATACAGCACTGAGTGGTACTGGAACAGATACATCCAGCATGTTGGTGTTCTCTCTCATTATATTTTGTATTTGTATATAAAGGTGTTTTAAAAAATGAGACTAGGCTGGCAGTGTGATGGGGTTCATGCTAATTCTCAGAAATATATTGAATAAATCTTGTTCCTTAACTTTATTCCAGAACAGCCATCACAGCAACAACTATTTCCCTGAATACTTTTGTGTCCATAGCACCTGTAGCCAGCTGTAGCCCGTTTTCCAATGTAAATATTTGTAATTTAAATACAAGAAATATATCAGCATTCAAAATTAATTCTAAAACTGTCACCTGGCTAAAAGCTGGCACTTGCTGCAAGTAGAAAAGGAGTTTAGAATAAATTTCAACATTATTTGATACCATCTTCGGTGAGGATGGAAAAGACCAATCAAAGCAACTTGCAGTAGAAATTGCATACGTGATTGGGTTGTGTAACTTTAATAATTTGATCTGATTTCTTCCCTGCAGGATTTCAAAACCTATGTGGATCAAGCTTGTAGAGCTGCAGATGAGTTTGTCAATATTTATTATGAGACAATGGATAAGAGGAGAAGGGTATGTAGATTTTTGACAATAGTTTAAATTGTCTTGTGCACTTTTTATTACTTTTCTAACTGGCATTACACAGGAAGCACCTGCACGTGGGTTACCATGTGTTGTGTTGGCCAGGCTGAGTCCTCTGTGCCTCAGGCTGCCCTGCAGAGGGTTTTATGTTCCTGTGCAGCCCTGCTGTAAAAAGGGAAGTGCCTTACACTTCTTCATGGCCCGAGTTCAGTTTGTGTGCACCTGTGTCTTACAGGAGCAGGGTTTGATCAGTACAGGGGGGCAGGTTTTGTATGTTGTCCACTGTATGTTTACGTATTTTTCCTAAATGTCTATTTTCATAATCATTCAGGCTTTAACCAGACTATATTTGGACAAAGCCACGTTAGTTTGGAATGGGAATGCAGTGTCTGGGCAAGAAGAACTAAATAAATTTTTTGAAATGTTGCCATCAAGTGAGTTCCAGGTTAATGTGTTGGACTGCCAGCCTGTTCACGGTAAGGTTGTGTTATAATTTATCTATTTTTCAGGGCTTTTTAACTATTAAAAGTGAAATGAAATTATAATAGGGCTTAATATTTCCTTTGGAATAAGCTTAGAGAAAATACCAAGGGTTGAAATGTCAAGTTGTGCATAAATAAAGCACAAATCAAAAGATGCAGCAACTCTACACTTTTTCTCATGTCTGGGAAAATATTTTAAGGACTTTTTTGTTAAGATCATATTCAGAAATGATGTGTTTTCATGTATGGAAAAAGTCTTGACTTATCAGGTTATGTTGTCCTTGAGAGACCTCTATGGTGGCCTCTGGTCCTGATCTGCAGTATAACGTGGAACAAATCTTTATTAACCTATGTGTACTTTGATTTCTTTACATCTAGAATAGATGTTAAGTTCTTTAGATTTCTGATTAACAACTGCTAAAGAAAGGCTTACATAACTGAGAAGTTAATAAATTGCTTCTAATGGACATTTTGGGAATATAAGTAAGGAAAAAGCCTGTGGTCAAGCACACTTGCTTTGCTCTGCTGTGGAAAAGATATAATGTCTAATAACGGGGGGGAAAAGTCTATGCAACTTGCTAAATACCTATATGTGTGTATATCTCAAGTAATGAGAGGTTATTCTGAGCAAAAATGGAGGTGTTTGTCATAGTGCTCTAAGTGAACAGCAGGAGGTGAAAATGGCAAAGCCATTGCAGAGCCGTGTTGAGCGAACCCACCGTTGTCTGTGTAGAAACGCGGCACCAAAGCTGTTCTGCCCCGCTGTGGAACCAGCTGGTGTTACCCTGGCGCTGGTACAGCCACATTGAACGAAGCCTCTCTGTGCATTTCCTGCTCCTTTACCTGCTAGTCTTTGTTTGAGTTGTTTTCTTCATCATTTTATACCTCCTTGTGAAGAACAAGCTACTCAAGGCCAGACAACAGTGCTCGTGGTGACAAGTGGGACTGTCAAATTTGATGGCGATAAGCAGCGCTACTTCAATCAGAACTTCTTGCTGACAGCACAGGCCACCCCGACCAACACCGTGTGGAAGATCGCCGGGGATTGCTTCCGCTTCCAGGACTGGGCCAGTTAGCAGGGACTGCCAGGGAAGTGACCTCTCTCATTTGGCACGAAGGAGTCCACTGTGCAGGCAGCTGTTCTCCCCAGGGAACACACGCGCTCTTTGTGTTGCATCTGTTGTTATGGAAGGTCCGCAGATCCTTCGGGGTTGGTTCCAGTGACCACGGCTTTAGTAATAATCTTAAAATGTGAGAGGTTGCTCGTGTTAGTTGAATTTAGTGAAGTGCTGAAGGCAGTGAGCTGTACTCGAATCATTCCTCAAATGCCTTACATGCAGCTGTGCTGCCGCTGCTGAATGCTCAAACTCTGCTATTTAAGTACAAAATCCTATTCATATACAATTCTGACCAAATGTAGTTTTTTTTCAACTTGAAAAGACCTGTTTTTACAGTAGCATCTTCTCTTTTTTGAAGAAGATGCTTGTGGCATGTGGATGGAATTCCGAAAGCTACCTACTCCTGGTTGTAAGAGGCTGGGAAGGATTGCAGTGGTTTCTACTGTTTGTGAAAGGAGCAAATCTCTCAATCCATTGGAAAGGTAATGTTACCTTCTCTGATGTGATAGAACTAAATAATCTCATCAGGTTTCCTTCTGGTCTGAGCTTCCCAGACTTTGGTCATGGTTAATTTACATGGATTCACATGTAGGGCATGCTGAATGATTCGGAGCTCCTGTGCCAACAACTTGCCACATGCATGTAAAGGACTTCAAACTGAATATTTTTCTTTTGAAGTCTTACAGTGACCTAGAAATAGGTTGGTAACATGATTTCTGTTTGCTTTAACTGTTCATTCTGTTGTTATGAGGTTTGGACTATTTTTCCTATGTTAAGTCTGCAACTTTTGAATCCTTTTTGTCTTTTCAAGAACCATTGTAGTTACAAAGTGGCACTGAAAGTGTGTATTACTGTGAAGCCTTCAATTTTTCTCTTCAGTACTGTTATTCAGAACAGGTGCTTGAATTATTTTCAAGAACAGCAGCTCTGCACCACAAACACTATCTTCCTCTCATGCAGGTTTTTACTGTATTTTTCATGTTCTTTGTAAACATGGCCTTTAATTATTGATTCTGGGGCGTTTTGTGTGTCTTGCTTTGAATTTGCAGTTTAAAGCTTTCAGCTGCTTTAAAATAGTTTTCAAGACTGCAGGTTAAGAGTGTCTGTCTTAACTTGGGAACTTAAGAGTAAATCTGGATATCAGCAGATTTGTTTCAAATTGGTCTGTTTCTGTTTTAAGCTGAGTAAAAAACAAACAAACAAACCCCAAAATGTAGCTGTATCTGTGAGCACTTGCTTGTAACTAAAAATACAGGAGGGGAGCCTGTAACTCCCATCATAACCCGTGTGACAATGACAACAGCAGTCTGAAAGCAGTTACAGCTGCAGCTCACTGGTTCTATGGCTTAAATGGAGAAAACTGTGAAAATGAGCAATATCTGACATGTGTAAAACATCCTAAAGCATCTGTAGTTTGCAATATAATCCCACAAATAACGGAGTGTTTAGGTGAAATGGGCGGCTGTATTTCCTTTTCAGGCCCTCTAGTCTTTACAGCAGTAAGTTAGAATTAGTAATTTGTGTCTATTCAGAGGCTGTTTATGGTCAGAAGTATTGTGTACCTATTTTTCAGGCTGAAGAATTTGAATTCCTGCAGACCAGTGCAGGAACAGAATTTTTGAAAACTGTAAATATTGTAAATACGTTGTTATTTCTGTATGTAGTGAAGAAAGGATCACTCTATTTAATTACTGTTTGTTCTTAAGAGAATACGCAATGTTCATATATTTGTATTTCCTATACAAAAGTTTGAAAAGACAACATAACCCTAAACATGCCTGTAACTGGTACAGCATTGTTGAACTGTGACACTGGTGTGGTGTACTCTACTGGCTGTTTAATTTGCTCTTGATTGTGTAAGTGGTGTTACAGATCTGCTTTGCAAACACAAAACAGGTTTTGCCTTTTAAAATGTAGTAATGGGTGCAACTGTAGCATTGGCTTGTTGGACTTTGAAGGCGGTCACCAGAACACACACTTATATCAGTACCTGATAAGATTGTCATGTGAATAAATACTTTTTGGATATTTTTATCCAAGTTTGAATTTGTATAGTAATTTTTAAGCTTTTTCTAGGCAGACTGGGAGATTTAGAATATATGAGGCAGTGTTTCAACCAGATGTTATTCTCAGTTATTATTTTCATGCTATCCAAATGCAAGCTGCTTTTAAATCTGACTCCTGCAGTTAATATTAAAAAAACTGACCAAATAAAAAAACCTACCACTACTTGGAACGTGACTTAGGAAGGTAACTAACTGGCCTAGCTGGACAAATCCAGCTTAAACTCTTACTTAGTAAGATCTATGGCTGGAATGAGACTTGGTATGCATACCCAGGGGTTTTGTAGAGAAATTTTTTGGAACACAATTGCTTCGGGCTGGGGAGAAGTGCCAGTTACTCCTGCCTATTTCCATCATCTTCAGTGAGGATCACTTGGGGTGATTCAGTACTACCAGAGTTAGCTCTTGCTCTTTATAACTGAAAATGCTGGTTTGCAAAATATTTTTATCTATTACACTAAGTGATAATGAAGCTATTACAGTCAACCAGTGGCTTTACAACTGAGTAACTAATGGCACAAACAAAAAATCGCTTTCATACTAGTTCTGTGCTGCTTGCTAAAACTTCTGTGCTTAAATTAGCAGAAGAGAACACAAAAATTCTTTTATCTCATTCAGTACAAAACCATCCAGCTGATTTAGCGTCCCCTGTTGCTGACTCTGCTGCAATACCCAAAATTTACAATGGGCATCTATAAAATGAGTGTGTTTATGCTCCAAACTCTAAACTGGAGTTCATGCTTCCATTTTTTTTGTTTGATACCAAGTTACTCTTGTACAACCAGAAACAAAGCCAGCTGAAGAGCCAAGCACTTCCATATACGAAACTGCAGCAACTGAAGACTTGATAGATTTTTTGTATATGTTCCCTGTATTGTCTTTATCAGTCACTGGTTTTATGTTGCTTTGTTCTTTTAGAATACCACAGTTAAATTGATTTAAAATACTTGTGCTGTTCCTTGGAATGGAGAAAAGGGATTTGTTCTGATGGTCTGAATAGTTTGGTCTGATGGTTCTGATATGCCTACACTTCCTTACTCTAACTGGAGAAAAGCACATTATAAAGAAATGCTGTTTTACCAGTAAAATAACTTTCCACACTTGAATATATTTTGTAAGTTTTTCAAATTGTTTAAGACCTCTTGTAAGATTAATTTTAAAAAAACTAAAAAAAAAAGAAAACCAACCAAAAACCACCTACCTGATATTCTATCTTTTTTTATTATTATTAGAAGTTTTCATAGCTTGTTCTTGTGATATTAAAAGTGCAAGAAATAAGTTGTGGCTTCCTTATCTTGACTGCTTGTGTTGTAGGTTCTAATTGTTGCCATGTGGTGCTGGGGCACTGCAGAACAGGCTGGCTGTGAGCTCTGTCAGGGCAAAAATCTGTCTGGAATAATAACCCTGTTGCAAATGCCTCACCAGAGCACTCTCAGGCAGCAAATGGTGTTGAGCTGTAACTATCTCAAGTTGACATTTCCCTCTAAAATTTACTGAAGGTTAGGCTGCTGTCCAGCACATACCTGGATGAAGTCAAACAAAATTTGAGCCAGATCCTTGGGTTGTAAGTATTTTCACTGAGAACGTGGTGTTGTGCCTCTGCTGTTTGTCTGCTAAGAAGAAATGAAACACTCAAATAAGGAAAGCTTCACAAGGTAACTGGAGATTTAGCATCAAATTACTGATGAACACTTGCTCAGTGCAGACAGCAACTTTTAAGCTGACAACTGAAAAGATGAAAATCCCAATGCAAGGTCAGTGGTTTTGTGGAAACAGATTGTTCTAGAAACGTACTGTGGAAACAGTGCCAAATATATTGGAAAGTTCTTGCTGTGTGTGAAGGTGGAGATTTCAGTGAGGCTTTGCAAGCAGTCGCTCCTGGTAGTGATCCTGAGCAAGGCACTGACAGCTGATGCAGTGTAAAGGTTTGTGAGTGCTGGGAATAATAAATCAGGTAGTGCCAAGCCAGATGTTTTTGCAGGTATGTTGAAAGTGAGTTCAGAAATTGCTCTTTCAAAATTCCCCCTGGCCTGAAGAAAAGAATGGGTAGGTCTTTCTAGAAAAGCAAGCTTTTCTTTTTTCTTCCTAACTGAGAAGAGGTACGATATTGATAGCTGGGCTTTCTCCTTCAGAAGGTTGGATTTAACAATATAAATAGATCTGTCTTGTTATCCTTTGTGTCCAGTGATTGAACAAGCTACTAAGATTGAACAAGAGACTAAGTGGCCACTTTGCCCTGCATCAGTAATACAGGTGCCTTAGAATATACTATTGCTGAAAAAAATGTGCTGAGTTTCAGTGGCTAATTTTTGTCTCCTTGCAGCCTATTTCACTTCAGTCCTGCTGAGTTTGCAGCTTCAAGGATTTTCAAGATTTCCTACCAGTACATGATGTACTGGACTTACTAAAACAAACAAAAGAAATGAATGTTACTGCTAGGCTTAATACTAACTTATCAAGGTCTCTGTATGCCACAGTATGAATTCTTGGGTGTTTCAAGTACCTGGGTGTGTGTTAATGCACGATGGTGTTACCTTCTTTAATCTGGTTGAACTGTAACTACAAGAACAGATGGACTGATGTAAATCACAGATTACTACAGTTCACTGAGACCTTGTGATTCTTTCAGGTGTTGAAAGGCACAGATAGAACAGCAGATAATTAGGTGTTAAGTTACTTGGCAGGAGGTCTTGTGCTTTCCTTCTTTCTGAACTGTGTCATGCAGGGCAAACTTTTTGACATCGGCAGCCCTTGCTTTTAGTTGGGACCTAAATACAGGGTGTTGCACACACTTTGCATTTTGGGAGGAGAAGAGAAGTAGATTATGAAGATAAGGGAAAATCGGATGAAGAAATTAGCGGTACTTGGAGGGACTGCCACAGCCTTCCTTCGGATTTGTCTGTAGGATGAAGCAGTGGAAAGCAGTTAGTAACCAGCTGATATGAAACAAAATGTGTCAAGCACACATTTTAGTGTCCAGTGCATTGAAACTTTAATGTGTGCAGATCTCAGAAACCTGTAACAGTCCTTCCCCTATTCTTGTCTAAAGTAGCTGAGTTCAGTGGTCCTGAATAATTCCTAAGCCATGAGTCTGTAAGGCCTCTCAGGCCAGTCCTGCTCATGGGCTGTGGTCAGGCAGAAAGAGAAGTTAATCACTGAGACAGGGTAAATAAAAGGTTTTGTACGTGCATAATGATCCCCTCGTTTTTAGAGGGGGAAGCTTTGGTTGTAGTCAGCTTAATTCTGACTGTACTGAAGGGAATCCTCACAGAAAATCTTCTAGTGTGTCTGATACAGTGTTTGAGTTATCCCGGTGTGAAAGTTCATTAGACAGTCGGCTTCTGCAGCTGTAGATGTGTAACATATATGTATATATGGCTTATGACTGTCCAAAAGTCCAGGCTGAAGTTAGCATTTTCATTTTCCAGAGATACTGTTGGAATCCTGGCAGATGGAAGTAACTGACTAGAACTTTACTGTTGCCCAACTACTTGATAGGGAATTTTAAGAATATTGGCAGTTTATTGGTTTCTCCAACATCCTTTTTCCCACACTATACCGACTGCTGCATTTTCTGTGCTGAGCTAAAAGTTTAATGTACTGATACAATGTTGGCATACAGTACTATGCCATATACTCCCACTAAAATTTTTTCTGGAACTTGAATTTTTTCTCTGCTCCATACTTTGCATTCATTAAAATATCCAGGTATTCACAAGACACTGATATCTAAGGATACTTCGTAATTTGATCTGTGGATCTTGCAGTGTTTTTCTGCAGTGACAAGGTTGACTTGGTAACTGCCAGTCCTCTCAAGGATTTTTTTTAAACTCATCACTTCAAGTGATTCCCCACAAAGTTACAGTAGAGAACAAGATGCAGCAGTTGCCAAGTACAAGACAACTGGTTTTCTGTTGGACAAAATATTCATGAGTGTTAGTAAATTTAAGTCTATAACAAAAATCACTCCTCCTTTGAAGTTAATGTCAAAACTTCTTTTTCCTTCACTGCGGTTTGTATAAAATCCAAATAGTAGTTTGTATTGTGTAGTGCAGCATTCCTAGTGACAGCACTTGTTCCTTGGAATTGTTCATTAATCTTTATCTGAAAAAACTTCACCCCAAACCCAAACCAAGAAAGCACAGACTACTGACATGTCTAAAACCTCTAAAACAACCTCTGCCTGCCTGACTTTTTCTGTAGAAAGCATAGGCTGTATGTTGGTTTAATCTTAAAGTTTAATCTTAAAGATATTCTTGGAATTACATGTCTCTGTGTATGGAAGGATGTTTTTGATGGCTTTCAAAGTTCCTGTACATTGGCAAAGCCACAGTACTGGTGCTTTCCTCATGGGAACAACTTCAGTTTCTAAGCTCTCTTTGTTTTGATAAATGCTTCCAGGTGAGCCAAACCCATCTAGCTTTAACAGGACGAGACCTGAGCCTTCCAATCCATGGCACAGCTGTCAGTGCTCCAGAGTGACAGAAGGCAGCATCCTACAGCAATAATGGACCTGCTTTTAATTCTGCAAAATGCTGCTGGCAGCAAGAGCATTGCAGTCAGATAACAAGGTAGAATACAAACAGATTTTAAAGAAAAAATGTTAAACTAAGATCTAAAGCTGAAAAATGAGAGAGGTCTCTGTACATACTGTAATCACAGAATGGGTTGGGTTGGAAGGGACCTTAAAGATCATCCAGTTCCAACCCCCTGCCATGGGCAGGGATGCTGCCCACTAGATCAGGTGGTCCAGGGCCCCATCCTTGAACACTTCCAGGGATGGAGCATCCACAACCTCTCTGGGCAACCTCTTCCAGTGTGTCACCACCCTCACAGTGAAGAATTTCTTGCTAAAAGCAAGTCTGAATCTCTCCTCTTAGTTTAAAACCATTCCCTTTTGTCCTATCACTACCAGCCCGTGTAAAAACTCGCTCTCCTTTTCATAAGCCCCCTTCAAGTACTGAAAGGCCACAGTAGGTAATGCGGGTGTTTATTGTAAAAAGCGATACAAACGAATCCAAGAGTTGTAGGACAGCTCTCACCGCACGACAGGCCTTGAGCGCTGTGCGACTGCACAAGAGCAGTGGGTTTCGCTTCCCCCGCAGTCTCTGGCTGTCTGTAGTCCCAAGCCGGAGGGCAGCAGGAGCGATGTCCTCGCAGGACAGACCCTTCCTCCTGCCGGTCCCGGCGCTCTCACAGCCGCTGCCCCTCGGGGCCCTCCTCGGCCGCCTGCCCCGGGCCGCGGGGGCCCCAGTCCCGCTCGATGTACAGGTGGTAGGGGTCGTGTTTGGACTCCAGCTTCCGCGAGCGGGTGTACGCCAGGATGAGCCCCCCGGCCAGGCAGCCATAGAAGATCATGATGAGCAGGATGTACAGCGAGCCGTCCGCCCCCGGGCCGGGGCCGGGTCCCTGCGGGGCCGCGCTGGAGTTGCCGTGGCCGCGCAGCTCCCGCAGCACCGCGCCCAGCAGCGCCTGCAGCCGCCGCGCATCGCTGCAGTTCATCGTGGCACCCGCACCCGCGGGAGGCGGAGCACAGCTCCCTCTGCCTCTGCGAGGGAACGCGGAGAGCTGAGCAAAACCTCCTGGGCCCTCGGCGCGGCAAACAGAGCGCTCGACAGGCTCCCTGAGTTACAGGAGCGAGATGTTTCGTGCTTGGGAAATGCAAGTTTGCCAAAATAAGGGCGAGTAGGAGCGAGTTCTAGTCACAGAATCACAGAATGGCTTGGGTTGGAAGGGATCTTAAAGATTATCCAGTTCAAAACCCCTGCCGTGGACAGGGACACTTTCCATTAGTCCACGTTCCTTAGATCCCCATTCAGCTTGGCCTTGAACACTTCCAGGGATGGAGCAGCCACAGTTTCTCTGGGCAACCTCTGACAGTGCCTCACCACTCTCAAAGTAATGAATTTCTTGCTAATACCTAATCCAAATCTCTCTTGCACAAGAGCTGTCACCCAGTGCCCTGCTGATAAAACTGCAGCAGTCAGCAGCAAAGGCCTTGGGCAGGCTCCCAGAGCAGGTTTGCTTTTGAAGGGCATGGAGCAGAGAAAAGCATGGAAGTGTTGGGAAGAAAGGTGGTGGAGTACTGGAGCATGAGCAGCAGCAGCTGTGGTGATTAGATACCCAGAGGCAGAATTAATGGGTATCAAAACAATTGGCAATCAGCTAAAGAGGGTCTGCTCCTTGATCAGAAAGGCCTGGAAAGCCCTGAATGTTAAAAGGGTGGGCTCTGGGTGGTTCCCAGTGTGGCTGTGCTAGATGTTGGTGCTGCAAGAGACAGGTGAGTTTTCTTTTTTTTCCCCTCCAAAATCTCTGTGCCCACAGTTATGTTTTGTTGTTTGTGTTTGTTTTTTTTTAAATTCTGTGTATGCCCTGAGTGCCTCAGAGTTTTCCCTGCTCCCAGGTTGTTTATCTGGTAACTCTAAATTCAGTCATCATTATGCACAGAGGTGAACAGGGAGGCTGCACATGTTACAGATTCGCAATCTCACTAGCATTTAGAAGAGTTTTTATCTTGTGCAGTTTCAACAGCAGGTTATAGTTTTTACTACAGTTAGAAGGGCTGAATATCCATTTAGAATCTCAAGAGAGCCAAACCCCAGAGGCTGATGGATATTTCTCCACAGTGTGAGGTTTTAGTTTGCTTTTCTACAGTATGTTTTTTGTTGGTGTGAACAATTTTCCTGGCATCTTTCCTCTGAAGTGAAGGACTCTGCTGGCCAGTAAATCCTTAGAGGGGGCTGCATGGAGGTTAAAACTGATCCAGACTGACTAGTTAGAAATTCAGCTTGGGTTGTGGTGTAGAGTTTGTTTGCAGAGGTCCTGGAGAAGTCACTGTCACCACCTGTGCATGTCCCCTCCTCACAGCAATATTGGTCTTGTGCTACTGCAAGTGTTCAGAGCCAAGATCCAGGTCTTAAAAACAACAAGGAAAAAAAAAACAGCAAGTGAGAGTTGCACTATTACATAAGTGTGTTCTGGGATGTGGTGAAGTTAAAGGCTTTGGGAAGTAATTGCCACAAAGGGTATAGGGAGATGGGACAGGTGCTGTATTTTGAACATGGGGACACAGGGGCCCTGGTTTAATGACCCTGATTAAATTTCACAGAAACAGGCTCACTGGGAGAGCTTGTGTTTGCTTCAACGTAGAAGACAGAAAGTAGGGCAGGCAGCTCTAGAGAACAGTCATCTATTCTTCGTGTTCACTCCCTGGGGGAGCACCATAAGTAATAGGTTGATCTATATCCAACAGAAAAGGTTTAGGTTAGTTATTTAAAACAAATAAAAACCCTGGAAACACCTCCCAGGGCTGGGACTTTTTGGAAAGTACTGGAACAGCATTTGGACTCACTCCCTGAAGTTGTAGTTGCAACAGTGCTGTTAGTAGTACTCCAGCGCTGTTTCAAATCCAAGTGCTAATAGTCCTTACCTGTATTTTTAAAAAGTAAAACTTACATGACATCTTTTTTCTTTAGCATTTTAATGACATGAGGTCATGTCTTGGAGTGAAGGGTATTCCTGCTCAGGGTCTGGATGTTCACAGGTAATGGAGATAGATGTGGTGGGCAAACTTCTGTAATAGGAGACACATGAGGGTAAATGCAGAATAAACATGTGTAGCAAACACAGTGACCTGCATCTCTTAGTGTTCATTAGCGAGATTATTGGTGTTTCAGAAAGAGAGAACAAGGGGAAAATGCAGCAGTCTGTGGGGGGTGGGTTTGGTTGTGGGGTTTGGTTGTTTTTTTTTTTTGTTGTTTTTTTTTTTTGTTTCCTTTTTTTTTTTTAGTTTTTTTTAAGTTTTTTTTGCTTTAAAAGCACAGGTGAGAACTGCGAGGATCAGACACTGTACCCAGAGCTCTGCTTGTCTAAGTTAATTAGCACTGGTCTAATGCCAAGACTACATGCTTCCACCTAAAGACAGTTTTGGACAGATCACCTGTGATAATCAGCTTCATTAAAACTCCATATCCGTATAGAATGGATTTGATTTTCTTCTAGTATGTCTTTCCCCAATAAAGCTGTAGGAAGATTCTACCTATTACAGCTCCCAGTAGCAAAGCAATAGTGCAAACATCACCCCATTTCTGTCAGAACTCGTTCATATGAAACTCGTTCATACATGAAATGACAGGCCAAGTACAGATGTGCGTTTAGTACAGTCAGCCCTGTTCCTCCATGGCCGCTGTAATCCCATCACATTAAAAAGCAATCACTAATCTACTTTGCAGCAGCACTGAGTAACCTGGAAATGTGGTTTGTTTGTTTGTTTTTTAATTAATCCAGGTAAGTTCATAGTTTTACTCTGCAGTGTTTGCAGTTCCACATAAACAGTGACTGCGAGTTTTACTGATCACCTTTGTGGCACCTTATGCAAAAGCAGCACCAGATTTATGTTTTAAGCTTCCGCTGTGTAAATTTTAGCCTTCAAAAGGGAAATTATTTATGCTCATGTAAATAGAGCTTAGTCATTGGGCAGGCTCAGGAAAAAACAAAACAAAACAACAAAACCCCACAAACAAAAAAACCCCAAACCAAACAGAGCCAAGAAACAAAAACCCCAACACGCCAAAACCAAATACATAATAAGAATTTATTTCTTGTTTTGCATGTAATTGCAGAACATCACTAATTTATCATTAGAATACAACATATTTTTTTGAAACTATAGTTCTGGGATGTGGTAGATCTGGGGGGGGTTGGCTGAAAATTAGTGACCCACATTCTCAGCTCGTGTTCTGTTCCTTTCCCAGCCCTGCAGTAGAGCACTGGTGTAGGTGGCAGGCAGAGCTCTGCATCCTGTCATGCTCCAAGTGTTATCATGGGCACTACACGTGCACCGGGTGGTTAAACATCACCTCGCTTGCTCCTGAGGGAATAACTCATTACTGTCCCTGTTCAGACTTCTTTTCCCCTTGCAAGCCATTTAATGACCCCTGTTACATGCAGCATCACTGCTGTTTTTTGTACAGGGACCAGGACTCTTCTGCCAGCCCCCACCCAAGGGGCCGTGCCAAAGCTGTTTCTCAAAAGCCTTTATTTAGCCTTCATTGAGGCTCTGAAGACTTTCAATGGCAGAGAGCTTGGGCAGCTACTTCAGTATTTAGTAAGGAATTGTTTTAAAGTTCTGTGTCAAATTGTAAATGTGACTTTGTGTAAACTTAACTGTTCCTCCTCTTTCTGTGGCCATGGCTCTCTGTTACCCACTAGGGTAACGTTGCATGGAGTTGAAGGTTACTCATCTCGTCATGTGCCGTTCCTCTTCAGGCCAGTTAAACTCAACTATAACCTTCCTTCATAGATGAAGCTTTCCAGTCCCACTGTAAAAGGTAGTTATACTCTGTCTTTCTCTGGATACCCCATGGTTTTTGAGGTAGGGGGCCTAAATAGAATCTTATATGGGATATGCCCAAACTGGCTTTTGTTTCTCTTTGAATTCGTTTCTCAGGAGGATAATTTTAAATTCTGAACCTGCTTTCTGAAGAACTTGCAGCTACTCTGAGCATTCTGGAACCTTCACGTGTAGTACGTGAACCTCTCCCTCACACTTCAGTCCCATGTTCTATGTTCTTTCAGCCAAGCACAGCATAAAGCAACTATCACATAATGGTTTTAAAGGAATTTACTATCCCTTCATCTGCATCCCAGTTCCTTATTTTTAATGGCAAGAATTATACATTCTTGCTCATCCTCTATTTCTTCTTCACAAGCTCTGTCACAAAAAGGATTCAGAATTCATTAAAATGAAGGATAAAGTTCTTTCCAAACTGCAGGTTATTTTATTTGCAAACAACCCCATGTTTGAAGGCAGCCTGATGTAAACCTTTCCCTTCTCTAGAAATGCTTGAAAAGCTGATGGTGTATCAAATTGCCTTTTGCAGCACATCCATATTTAGTTCATTCCTTAAAAGCAAAATGAGGCCCCCTGGAGGCTTTGTTTTTCATATCTGTAGCATGTACTCATTGCTGCTGCTTTTGAGAAGTCCTTCTAAGATAGGCTTGGTTTCAGACAGAATGGGAGGCACAGAACAGTAACTAGAGACAACTTGTGCAATACAGAAAGATCTTCCAGAACACAGACTTGTTGAACCATTTAAGTTGTATTCCATTTCTGAAATGTTAACATTGTGTATGTATATTTTTTTAAAATAGCAATCCTCAGTCAACCAAGACACAGAAGATAAAATACGTTTCATATAAATACATTCATGGCTTTAAAAAAAAAAAGTCTTATAGCCTGCTGACAGACTCAAGTGCAAGTATCTTTTTCATATGTACTTCACTTTTGTGATGCTGACAGGCTGACTAAAGGCTATTTAATAGTGACCATGTTTTAACACAGAAAAATTGGTAACCTGGCTCCAGGACCAAGTAATTTGAAAAGTTGCTACTGATATGGGAAGTACTTCCTGTTGTTGTAAACCAACTGTATGTGTCTTAAAAAAAATAATAATTTAATTTTTTTAGAAAAGCTACTTCCTTGTTCCTTTTAGTGACTCTTGTAGTTCCATGCACAATGAGATACAGTCAGCTTTATATACCGTTTTCTTTTCCTCTTTCCCCTCGGGGTTCT